AAAAGAGTCGCCTTCAAATAAGATTGGGTGCATGGTGATAGTCATGCTCCATAAACAGCCATAGTGGCCATGGCTAGCCCATTGTTTATTAGATGAGAGAGAAAGGAAGTTTCTAGAGAGATGGACTTATGGAGAGAACAAAGGGGGTTGCAAGGGACATGATACGCCCAGGTGGTGGGTAAGTGGTTTAAAGCGATGTCCCCCCCCCCCCTCTCTAAACTTATTTGCTTTGCTTCACAAGTCATAAAACAGTTACAATCTTTCTCTCCAGGGCGATCACGTTTGCATTATCTAAATTGTTTGCTTTACACACAATACAGGCGTTTACAATTTTTTTTTTTTTGCAAGACCATCATGTTTTTTTCCATAAATAAGTATGTCCATTCCCGTTGTCTTTTGATATTATATATTCTCAAATATCATGTCAATTTTACGAGATGTTATGTGTAAATTTTATACCAATTAGAAAAAGAGTAATTTCGTAGAGGAAAGTATACATTCAATACGAAGTATATGTAAACGATAGAGGCATAAGAAAGTAGCAACAGGCAAAAAACCTTCTCCACCTTTGAATCAGATATCTACCGTAGATGCTCAATAGTAGACATGTACTATAAATGCCGAGAACTTTCGGACGCAACACGTAATTTGACAAAATCTCAGAAAAAATTCATTTCTTAAAATGATCGTTTATTTATTTCGTTCAAATTCTAACTAAACTCCTTTCTACCTTGCTGTAATCAATTATAACTTTAAAACTATAGTGAAAATTTCTTTAAATTTGAATATGTTTAGTTATAATTATTTTTTAGTAGGACTTCAAATGTAGATTTCAAGCCATCGAATTCGCTCGCTGTCCCTAAATAATTGAATGATGCCTTTTTCATTTCAAGAATAAAAATTTATTCAATTATAAATATATCAAATAACTTGCATCGCACTAGTAATGGATTATATGTTGTTTGCAGTGTTTGTAGTAAAATTATATGAGATAAACTCACTAGCAATTTTACATATAAATTTATCTTTTTAAAGCAATTTGATGAAAATCATAGGTTTTTACCTAAAAAAACTAAAAATAGCTGAAAATTATCAAAATCTTGAATAATTAAATAACATTATTTATAACACAAGGTATTTAGCAAACAGCTAACAGACTGATATCATGCAGAATATACTAATAAAAAAGATAATCTACTCCCGATGGGAAAGGGGTTGGGGCTGGCGGTGATAGCACCCCCACACCTTAATCACCACGTTGTGGTTTTCATACCCAGTAAATTATTTAAAAAAACGGGTGGGACCTGTCTTCCCCACTAAATTACCAAAAAAAAAAAAAACTGCTCCTGATAAGATTAGTTATCATCTAAACAGGCCCAAAGTTTGGTAAGAGTTTGAATGGTTGCATTTACCTAAGCGCTCTCCCCTTAATGAGTTGTTTCATTCCGAAGGTGCGGTCTTAAGTTCATGTAAATCTTAGTCTGGCTTAGCATCCATACTTATCAATTATTAAATCAATTTAGCATCTACACATCAAATATTAGACCAAATGAATGTGCATTTGTTGCCAGCTCAAATGTTGTCTAGTTTTGGCGAATACTTCCACTCTGTTTTTTGACCTGCCCTGCATGAAATATATGCACAATTTGCCTTGTGACTTTCTGTTTCCTAATGTTTGAGAATTATTAACCTGATTATCTGCAAGTTTTTTTGTGATGTATGACTATCATGGGGAATGGTCTGCCAATCTTCATATTAGTGAGATTATCCATTGGATAACTAACTGTGTTTACCAGCTAGATGAATATTTCAATCCTCTGATTATTTTTGGAGTTTGTGAGCTTTAATGGTGTTATTCGGGACGAGTAAATGTTTTTAACCACAGAGGTATTTCCTTATTTGACACTGGTTAAGTTCTTTTTTATAATTCCCTAGGTTCTTATCTTGGTTTAGGGCACCCAATTAGTAATTTACTACCCTATTTTGTTAACAACAGTACTGTGACGAGCATGTCCAATTTTCCTGCTTTCGTTACAGCATTTTCATGTCTCATATTGCTTATAGGTCTTCAATACCACTAATTGTGACAAGCATTTCCAATTTTTTTTTAAAAAAAATTCTTTTTCCACTGTTTTAGTTCTATCACTTTCTCTCATGTTTTTCTGTGCTAATATTCTGATCAATCTCATTTCAGGTTATCCTTGCAATATGGACTTAGATTATGGTGCTCTCACACAACTGCAAAATTTTGCTATGAACAACGTGGGTGATCCATTTATTGAGAGCAACTACGGAGTTCAATCAAGACCGTTTGAAATCGGGGTTCTCGACTGGTTTGCTCGTCTCTGGGAATTGGAAAAGAATAAGTATTGGGGTTACATTACAAGTGGTGGAACAGAGGGCAATTTTCATGGCATTTTACTTGGGTCAGTAAACAATAAATTTTTGTTCTATTGTTTGTTCTATTTTAGAATTGGTCTTCGATGCTTTATGAACCCTATTAATCTTGGTTTAATTATTTGGTAGTCTTTTCGAGATTGA